CCCCCCCCCCCCCCCCCGCCATGTGCCCTCCTGGGGTGCGCGCAGTTGCAGAAGCCACCCCCCACCCGACAAACCATGGGTCCATCCTGTGCCCCACCCCAGATCGTACCTGTTCCCTCCCTCACTGGGGGGGTTGATCTGCCCCTTCCCTTCCACCAGCTGGATGTAGCTCTCCATGTTGTGCTTCTCGCTGCCCCAGTGCTGCACTGAGGCTGTGCACACACACAAGCATTTATCAGCCAAATTACCAGGCCTACTGGGCCTGATACAGCCAATTTTCTTTATAATCAGTACTGATCCAATATTGAACTGATGTATTGGTGCATCTCTATCTATTACCTCTGTCCATACTTAGTTGGATACTTTCTTTACGAAAGCAGACAAGACTTCAGAAAAAGCTGAAGCCAAGACTCCTGAGAAGACTCCAGCCAACAGCCCTTCAAAAAGTCCAGCAAAGTCACCTCAGAGAAGTCCTTCCAAATCAATGTGATTGCTATTTACAATATAAATACGTTGATATAGCTATATTACTCATCTGTAATTGATCGAGTACAAAATTCTGGGTTATTTTTGGTGAAAATAGGGTATCGGGCCTTGGCTCAGGAACCAATCCCCCATTTATAACATTGTTTCTTATGAGAAAATTGGTTCCAAGTTATAACATTTTGACTTAAGACGCAGTTTTCAGGAACCAATTGTGTTGTAAGTCCAAGGACTGCCTGTGTATTCAATTTAATATTTTAGTTCTTACCTGGGCACTGGGGAGAAGGGATGAAGTTTCAAGCAATGGAGGTTCCACTTCCTGTATTGCTGGGACCGGATCCACCTCTCAGTCGTTTTTATCATGTTCTTTTGAAAAGAGGGAGAAAAATCATGTACGGCAGTTGCATCATAAACACTGAACTGTTTAATTTCAGTTAGGCACTATCTAAACTTATGACTTCATAATTAAGCTAAAATTATGTGGGTAAGGACTGTAACAACCAAATTTACAACATGATATGTTTCAGGAAGAAAGAAAAGACATTAATGCACCATTATTGGTACGTTATTTATCCAAGATTTGCAGGAAGGGCAGGGGCATTTAAGCACAAAAGGCAGTGAAAAAGCCTCTTAATAGGCATTTGGAGATATTCCTTCCTCAGGGCATGATTATTTTCTCTCTCCAAAGGTATTGTTCTCCCATTCTTTTTACATGATAAGAGTATGAGTTGTTCAGTGGCCCTCCCTCTTATCTCTCATTTCATCAGTGGGCTACTCCATTGCAATAGCTAGGCAAACAAAATTTATCCCCAAGAGTTAAGCGTTCAAAATGAGACAACACAAATCTCTCCTACCCTTGCAGGATAGGTATCATAAGGTATCAAGGAAAGCCAAACCCAGGTGGGTCTCTTTTTAAGAAAACAAATTTAATTTGGGGAATGTTATCTTTAAAGATCCCAAAATAACAATATTAATGCTGTCTAGTCCTAGGAGCAAAGGGAGTCCAAGTCATTGCCCTTTAGAGGACACTAGTTCCTTTTGATTGCTGTTCATTTAGCAATGTTTGGCTTTGGACAATGTGTTTGGCTCTGGACAATATATAGCATATTTTGTCTTGAAGGGAAAGATTATTTCATGGAATTGCTATATATTGTCCAAAGCCAAACACTTGGCTTATCAGGAAAATTATCAGGAAAAATACTTTGAACTCCAACAGGATCCATTAGCCAATGACTTGCAAGTGGTTTGCAAACAAGGATTCTCATTCATGCCCTTGAGCTAGGGGTGGGCAAAATAGCAGATCTAGCTAGTGGTCAGACTCTATTTCCTATCATCCCCTGCCCATATCGCTGCAGCTGTTTTCCATGAAGACCCCAGGAATGGCAGGGACATGACTGCGGGGCCAGGGTTTCCAGTGCTGCTTGGGCCGGTCTCCATGGTGGGGCTCAAGGCGGGACGGGGAGTTGCTCTAGGGTCAGGGCCAGGATTCTGCAGTGGTGACAGCACAGGTTGGAACTGGAGCAGATACGCGATCTGCTGCCTGCCTGCCAGCGCTGCTTGGGCTGGTCTCCATGGAAGCCCTGGCCCTGCACTGCCACAGCCCTGCCGCTCCTTGGGTCTCCATGCAAAACAGCTGCAGTGACACAGGCAGGGGCTGATGGGAAATGGAGTCTGCCATGGGCCAGACTTTGCTCAGACAAGCGTAGCCCTGGGAGGAATCCAGGGCCGCAAGTACATTCGAAGTTGTTTGTTTATAAAATAGATTTTACAGACTTGGCCCACCCTTGCCTTAAGATATACAATAAGAGATATAATCTCTATTTTATAAACAAACAAACAAACATCAGCAACTAGCCAGAAGTCTGTCAGTTCTACCAAATTTGGTAATCAGGATTTCCAATTGCTTTTTCTAAGAAACAGGACCCCCCTCCTTCCCACATCTTACCTCAAAGGCCCATTCAGTTCCCAATGAAAGCACTACATCAGGAATGCCAATGCTATGAATACCTCCTGCATTCACTTGATTCCTATGGGTTAGGATACACTTCTTACCATTTTACTTATTTGTTTTTCACTTCATTTGTTTTCTTTTTTCATCTTTGTATTTTTCTTTCAGCTAATTTGATTTTTTCTGCCTATCCTTTATTTATTCAACTCATTTCACAGCTCCAGGCACTGCCTTCATGCCTTACAAAATGCACAGCTACATAATACAAGTAACTTGGACTGCATACTCCAAGCCACTTGCACATTGCATCCATCCCTAAGAAAAAACATCTAGGTAGTAGCTGCATGCTCTTCCATTTTCACCACTGCTAAGACGGTGGTATTAAAAAAAAAAGGAAGGAAAGACATTCCTCAGATCTCTGATCTACGGTCATGAGTACAGGGGAAATGGAAGAGGGGTTATATAGTAACTACATACCACACACTAAAAAACAACATGTAAAAGCAGTTTGGAAAAATTTGCATTGTAACAGATAAATGGGGTAGATATTGTCTTGCTATTTAAAATAAATATTGACTTAATTTCTAAAACTGCCAGCTACATAAAATTTTGCTTTCCCAAAATAGCCTAACATATATTTTAAGTGAATGCACACGTGCACAGAACAACTTCAACAATAACAACAACAAAAGCTATATAGAAAAGAAACGTAAGGAACTAACTGTAGTTATAACAGTTAATACTTGCAGAGGTTTCTAATTAGCAGCAGCTTCTACAAACATCAACATAAAATTACCAAAGCAAGCTTTGACTAAATTATTTTTATTGAACTGTGACACCACATACAAACAAGCTGTGTTCTAAACTGTGTTCCTCTGAAATGATGCCTATGACAGCAGGGTGCTAGACTTGGTGACCCAGGGGTTCCCTTCCTTGTAAAAAAAAGTCAATCCCAACGTTCTGAAATATAAGTGTGTACTCACTGCCTAAACTGTCTTGACTGAAACAGAATTAAGCAGAAAACACCATAAAATATAAACAGTGTTTCAGCTGGTATATTTCCAGGCTTTATGGTTACAATGAGCTCTACAAACATCAGTTACTCTTCACAACATTCTTGAAATACAGACAAGTATAATTATCCTGACCATTAGTTTGTGTCCTGCTTATTTTATAAATCAGAAGTGCTTTCATCAAGCTTTATCAATATGATCCAATTTATTGCATTTTGGTGTTAATTCTCCATTTCCCTCTGTTTTGATAAATACAACAGGAAATTAATTACCATAATTTACCATTTTATAGACTATATATTATGGCAGCTGCAGGTAATGGTTTTCTTTCCTTTTAATAAAAATGGCAGCTAATAAGTGCATAGAATGTTACCCTTAGGGCCCATAGTGGATTTTAAAACAGTGTATTTGATATGACTTGGAGTCCTACTAACCTGCATTCGTATTGCTACTGCCAGAGAAGGTAGAGTCTCCTCAGCAGTTCGATCACCGTACTTTATACCTTGATGACCACAATAAAGTTTGCCTGTGAAAAGAGAATGTTGATCCAATGATTCACGAAGTCTTTGAGAGTGGGAATGAGCAAAAGCAAGTCGGACATACATCCTCATCCAAAACAATAACTTGACACATGAATATTTTCATTTTAGCAACTGATACTACAGTTAGCAGAGCAAACAATAAGCTGGCACGCATCAACTGATGCATCTCAAGCAAAACTAAGGAAGTTTTTCTCCTGCGCCACTCAACATTGGTGAGGTAGCATCTGGAGTACCGTCCAGTTCTGGGTGCCACACTTCAAGCAGGATGTGGAGAAGCTTGAGAGAGCCCAGAGAAGAGCCACTCGTATGATTACAGGCCAGTGAAGACCATGCCAGATACAGGACTGTTCAGCCTAGAAAAGAGAAGACTTCAGGGGGATTTGGTGGCAACTTACAAATATATCAGGGGAGAGCATCTGGGGCTAGGTGAACAACTATTCACCAAAATGTCCCAGGGGAAAATCAGGAGCAATGATCATAAACTCCTAGAAGAAGGTTTCAGACAAGATACAAGGAAAAACTTATTCACGGTTCATGTGACCAGACTCTGGAACAATCTCCCAGCAGGGGTGGTGCAGGCACTTACCCGGGAGATCTTCAAACAGAGACTGGACGCACACCTTGCTGGAGTTATTTGATTCCAGCAGTCTTTCCTGCCCAGAGCAGGGGGGCTGGACCCAGTGATCTCGCGAGGTCCCTTCCAGCCCTAAACGTCTGTGAATCTGTAAATTTCACTGGCTAATCTACAAATAGCCTCTTATTTTCAAGTGGATACCACCACAAAGTGTGTACAGGTAGGTACACACATGTGTATGCACATGGACAAAAACCCATATACATGTAATAAATGAGAAAGAGACGGAAAAAAAAGTGTCTTTCATGCAAAGAAAGCTTCAACAGGTGTTCAGATTTGGAAAGTTACATACACTATAGATAATATACTGAACAAAACAGGAAAAAGAATCCATCTGCTATTTCATATTCATATTTCTAGGGGAGGGGGACAGAAGGGTAATGATGATATTCATATTTCGAGGAGGGAGAGAGGATAATAATGATAACTAGGATCCTGGTTTTTGCTAATACAAAAAATGGTTTAAAAAAGTAAACCAAAATCCACATTTTTCCATGAGTAAAATGAAATATATATAAAACCAGGATCCCTAATAATAATTATGGGCCCAAGCTTTCTACAGAAGGTACTGTGGTTACAACTGTTTTCCTGTGGGACAGTATCATTCAATGATCACTGATCAGCTAGCCTATGTTAACATATTATTGCAGCACTTCTTTAAACATCATTGCAACATGTACCTTTGACTTCAGTGACAAAACTAAACCAGTAGTAAGATGTTATCCTAGCACGAAACTCACAGTAAAAGGTCTTCCATTTGTATTAATGCTGCTTGTTTTAAACCAAGTCTTCTGGAATTTTTCAGTTAAGACCAGAAATCAGAGTTGTACTGGAACTTATAACAGTCTGTCATAATCATAAATTGACTAGGATTGCGTCAAGACCATGCTGGGATCTCTGCCAAAACAACAAATGAAGTAGGAGGGATGAAGTTAAATTCCCCACTCTTTCAGACGGCTGTGCTTTACAGAAACATTTCAACATTTTATTTGATTTGGCTTAATATGCCTTCTTTATCACAGCAGAGATAACATATGCATAAATATATATTTGACTTTGAGATTTTCCTTCAACAGAGTTCTTTGAGCTTGTATGTACTCCAAAACCTTCACAGTACACTCAGGCTTTTGCCAGGGATGAGGTGAAGTAAGCGAGGAAAAATTTATATACTCTTAGGAAGAAAAGATCTTGGGTTGTAACAGCTCATTTACAATATGTATTTCAGCTGATGGCCCAGAAGGGTGGCCCTTGCACACGCTATGAGGGGATTTGGACCAGGAGATCAGCACAAAATGCAGGATGATGCTTCCTCCTGCAGCCCATTTCAGTGATCGCTTTACTTCTGGTACACAGGTTTCAAGATGTTGCTTTGAGCAGCCTCTGTGCTCAGGCAGTTGGGGTTTAAGTGGTGCAGAGGGACTTGTGCAGTTTTTTTGCACTGGGCTGAGTTTCACAGATACGTATGTATGTCCACAGACTGGCATTTTCCAAAGAGCCTGCAGAAGTGACCTGCCTAACTCCTTTTAAACTTTAGCACCTTTAAGCTCTTTTCAAAATCCCAGCCCTCATTTCTTAAAACATACATATAAGAAGTGTAAGATGGTAATATTGATGTAATACCATAGCTTGTATGGTACTAGGCAGGAGGTCACATCAATGGGAGTTTTTTAAAAAAAAAGGAGGGTTGAACCAAGAATAATTTCAAACTTGATTATACAAAGTAAAAATTCAACAAAGGAAATTCCATCACTGTCTAGCAAGCCCTTTAGCTCTGTTCTTCTGGTTTATGTCATTGCAACTGCAGAGTGGAATTAAGCCCATGCAATTTCTTGGTACTTTTAAAATATGCATGAATACAAAGCTGAGCGCACAATTATATAGATAAGAATCTAGCAACCAACTAGCAGGAATAAAAGCCATTTCATGTCTGTTGTTGACTTCAGGCTGAATTTCACTGCTGTGAAATTTCACTGCTGTGACCTCACAGATGTTAAACAGGACAAACTGGAGAAATGGTCTGAAATCAACTGAATGAAATTCAGCAAAGACAAATGCTATGCCCAGTACTTGGCACAGAAAAAAAAAAAAAAAAAAAATCACACTCCAAGAAAGATGTGAACAGGTTAGAAAGAATCTAGGATGAGAATGTAATTAGAGATCTAAGAAACATGACTTACAAGAAAAGGCTTAATGAACCATGATTATTTAGCCTGGAGAATAAAAGGCTAAGGTCAGGGGTGGGATTTGATAACAGTTTTCAAATACCCGAAGGGTGGTTATAGGGACGATGCCGATTGACTTTCCTCTACGGCTGCTAGGGATAGGACAATGAACAACCGTCTTAAATTACAAAAAGGGGAATTTAAGTTGGATATTAGGAAGAACTTTCTCACTATGAACATTGGAACAAGCTATCCAGAGAAGTTTTGGAATCTCCATCCTTGGAAATGTTCAAGAGCAGGTTAAACAGACACTTTGCTGGGTTGGTTTAGGCAGGGATGCTCCTGCTTCAAGTGAACAGGGGATTAGATGAAATGACCTCCTGAGATCCCTTCCAGACCTACTTTTCTATGATACTATGCAGTAATTTAGTAAACACCTGAAATACCCTGACAGATACAACTCTTGAATTATTCGTTTAGTGTCCAATAGCTAGAGAGAATCCTAATAAAATGCTAACTTGAGACAATAAGACTGTATTACAAACAGTTCACACTTGAAGAATACATGCTGTATACAAATAGTAAGTCTTAAAGTAGACTAGTATTTTACTCAAGCTAAAAGGTACTCATTCTCTCTTTTCAAAAAGTAAATCCTGTTTTAACTAAGAGAGAAATAACTCAATGCCTTCTATAAATGAAGCTCATAAAATATATTGCTCATACGCTTAAATGGTATTTTACTCTAAAGTAAGTTCTTTTGCTAAAATTATAACCTGCTGAAAACTCGGCATTAACATGAAAATACTGGCAGACCTTTTATACAGTCATTACGCACACACTACACTCCATGAACAATGACCAGCATTGCATATTGAGGCCAAAAAGAACCACAAAAACATTAATTTTAAAGGGTGCTGGTAAAATCTCTGACAATCTCAAACCATATAAAAAAGATAACTATGGAATTTATTTTAAGGATTTTTCCTTTGATAGCCTGTAATATAGCAGAACCATAAGTGAATTGTATAAAGGCCATATCAAATAAAAAAAATTAAATTAAAAAAATGAGTTAGAACAGATAAGATTTTGTGTTGCTCTACTTAAAAAGTGCCTAGGTGGAAGGAAACAAAGGTAGCTTGAATGCCATTTTTGGATCCTTGTAATCCTAGGTTTTCCAAAGGATAGATTCTAAGTGCCCTCAGCCTCCTTAGGTTACAATGCTGTGGGGTATGCAGCACTTCTTGGAAACCATCCACAAATTCAGCAGTTTCAAGGACAGAAGCAGGCCTGTCCTATTACATCTGTCCTCTGAAGTGCCTGCGCGGGGGGAATTCTCCTTTGACCCGAGTTAGTATTATTAGGGCCCCTTCAGGCCCTTCCAGCATTTTACCTGATAAACTACCCAGAAAAGGGATGAGGATCTTGCTCACAGATCTTTAAAACATTCCATTCATTTAAATGGCAATGTCATGCTATATTTTTTCAATCTTATCATGGGATTTGCTTTCTGAAAGCAGGAACTGCTAGCTTTGCTGTGGCTTTCAGTAGAACGTCATGTTTGGGTAGGTCTCCTAGCTTTTACTTTTTATTTAAAAGCCAAATCAAAATTATATTTAATACTTATAACTTAGTTTTAAAAATGAAAACAAAACCCAAGAACGAATTGTGAATAACAACTTGTGTAGTACACATCATGGTAGGGACCACAAATTGAAAGATTTATATGAAAATGACCCAGGAGTTATGTGCATAAAATGGAAAAAACCTAGTTATTTGAAGAGAAGGGGAAGAGATGTATATTATGATAAAAATTATTCCATTGTTCTACAGTCGGCTACAGAGAGTACTTTCAAGCAGTCAGTCATTCCTATATAAGAAAGTATGATCCATTTATCCTTATTAACATAACAGACATATGTATTATTAGTCAGCGTCAACTTTTAGAACATTTTAAGGATGTTATTCAAATGGATTCAACTACAGTCCTGACTCAATGTCTAAAAATTCACATTCTTGTATGCTTATAACACTCTTCCTATAGCACAGTTGTTGCACTAAAACGTTTTGGCTTTAATGTCCTCAAAATTAGACAGTGTTTAACTTAATAACTGTACTAAAATAAAACGAGCTGCAGAGCACGCACACAGTGATTTTCATAATAATGATTTTAGCAACGATAGCACAGACA